CGGCCGCATCGGAGGAGTCTTCAGTTTTGGACGTCCTTCGTCGCGGTGCTGTGACGTATGCGGCCGACGAATTCGACCTTCGGAGGACCCGTCCTGCCGTTTTGGACACAGCCTTTGACTCACAAAAACAGGCTGAGTGGCCGGCCCCTTCATCTGTTCATGAGATATTTGACTAAAAGACAAACACAAATTCTCACCTGTTTTTCATGACAGTGGTGAATAATCATGTTACTGATAGCAAAACCATCAACAAACCACTGTCTCTGCTGCGTCTTACCTTGTTGTCCTGGAAGCCCAGGTAGCCAGTGGGAAGGTTAGCAGTGACAGGAAGCTGCTGTTCGTTCGTGACGACCCGACCTCCGTCTCTCAGCAGAGGCAGCCAGGCTGAACCCACTTTGGGGCAAAGAGCAGATATTAGACTGGTTCAGCTCATAATAAAGAGCTGATGAAAGGTGAAACTGAAATTAGAAGAGTACCTGGAGTTTCCACCATGTCTTTCTTCTTGCTGTTGTTTTCACAGCTGATGTGAAAGAAGCTGAAGAGAAGGTGATGCTTGTTGTGCAGCTGAGTAGGCAGCTCTATCTTTATCTGAAGAATAGTTTTGTAAAAWGCTTATTGAAACTTCCTTGACTTGATTCAGTTCTGATGGAGGGAACATAGGTCTAAATACCTCATTGTAGAACTCAGGGTTCTGCTGGTGGTGTAGGACGGCTGCATAGGCGTGTTTAGAGAACAGAGGTCCTCCAGGACGCCCGTAGATGCACTGCAGCAAAAAACAAAACAAGATGTGATGAAGGGAAGGCATACACACTAATGCCATCTGTTTCTCCAAGCTAGCGGCTAATGTTTTGTCATAAAAACAGTGGTGGGCACAGCTAACCAAAAAKTTAGCTCTGCTAACTCATAACCCATGAGCTAAAAATATAGCTTCGCTAACACTACCGTCCTAAACATGAAAAAATAATCAGATGCTAACACTAACGGCTAACCAGTAAGAGTCTGTGTCACACGTCTTTGTCTCCTTCCAGCTGAAGACTGGTGGACTGACATAAACCTGTTGATGTTAGCTTGTTAGTTAGCTGTTAGCAAACATCATATTGGCTAAATCTAATTTAGTGGAAGCTGATTGGTCCACTAACAGTTCTCAAAGTTAGTGAAAAAGCTAATCCACTAATCAAAAAAAATGTTTTGCTGTTAGCTGATTGGCAGAACCATGCCCACCACTGTTTGAAAGCATTCAAATCTCCTGCCACCTTGCATGTCAAAATTTTAAACTTTGACAGGTCTTTGAAGGGATCCCCGATTAGTTGTAACATTAGACTTTATATGATAAACATATACTGTAACTGTAAAATAAAGACTGTAAAAATACTGTAGGATGTTCAGTTTTTATAATTTTTGAACTAAAAGTTTAAAAGTATATTACACAGACGGAGCCATTTCATTTACATGCAAAGCATTCTGTGTAAATGATGACATCAACTAGGTC